ATGGTTAAGAAGTGACATTTCTTTGATTAGCGGACGAGCTTTATAAGTACATTTATTGAGTTCGGTCAGCATCGACTCGAACTTGGGGCACCGCGGCCGTTTATTTTGTTTAACCTTGGAAGTAATCCAAGTGTTCGGATAAGGATATGTACCGGAGGCAGGTCGAATAAAAACAAATTTAGATTTCCACTTCATCACATTTGAAGAAAGGTCATCGAGAAAGGTGACACCGGCGCGACGACCCAGGCAATGGGCGTCCTTTATGAACCTATAGTTATAACAATAAAAGAGAAACTCGGGAGAGAAATATTGGAGCTTTATTCTGGAGACAACGATAAAAGCGATCATAATGCGAAGGGCGTTAGGAGAAAACTGATTTATGGGTACATCATACAAGTCGCTAATAGCGCGAAGTTCGGGTTGAATGGAAAAACGAAGGCCGAATAGCACTTGGTCAATGAAAAAAGTATAAAAGTCCGGAGGAGGATTAGCGAAGTCGTCATTGGGGCGGGGAATGACCAATTCCCAATCGGCGGGAAGTCCGCTGTATGTCCTAAAGCCCTCGACCTCAGCTGCAGAGGCATAACAAAAAGGATTTAAAACAACTATCTTTGCTAAGGGACACGCTATAGATACAACATTTTGAACCTCGAGGAGAGGCGCGCAATTATCGGTAAAGAAGGAGGACTAGTTCTATATACAGGTAAATCTAAAATCCTAAGGGGGATACCTCGGGGAATGAGGTCGAGACGAGGAGACTCCTTAACGCGAGAAGCTTCGGGATCTTCAGCCAAGACGCCCGACATCCACACCCGCCTATAAGCATCTTGATCGATGCCGAAAGAGGAAACATCTGAGGGAGAATTTTGTGATTGATCGGCTGGTTTGAAGCCGACTACTTGCACTGAATCAGATGATTGAGCGCCTGTGTCGATCAAACGTTCGACAGTGTCGGGCGAAGAGTCGGAATCAGAATCTAGAAAAAGAAACAAAAAAGAAGAATCGAAATCAGTAAGATTAGAAACCAGCAAAGAGCAAAAGGTTCGGCATAAGCCAACACAAGGAAGGTCGACTGGAGAAAGTCGTCAAAGGAAGATTCGACGAAGAAGCGTGGAAGAGAAGTAAATGATTCCATAAGTACAGTCGCGAGAACTCCAAACTCGCCTCAGTCGAAAAAGATGATACGATATGCTAACTACTGAAGAAGAATTAGACCTAAATCGACCTAAGTTATGCAAATCGGTTTTCAGCGAAAAGCCGACATGAGGTAAAGCCGGGAAACAAGAAGTCCAAGGAAAGTTCTGGATGGGAAGATCTAACAAAGAATCCTATATGAAAATTTGAAGAACACGAAGAACACTTGAGGATTTCAAACTCGAAAAACCCAGAAGTTGTGAAGGTCCGCAAGAATAACGCAAGGAAAAATCCGATAAATCACAGCAAATAACTTGCAAAGATCATAAACAAGAAAACTTAAACATATTCGCGACGCAGAGAAGCCCTGAAGAGAATGGATGGTCACCGAAAAATTGAGCACCACAGAGCCGAAAGCCGTTTTAATCGGTGGAGGACGTTAGAAGATTTGAGAGTTGAAAAAGAAAGTGATTCATAAAGTAAAGGGGGGAGTATTTATAACCCAACAAACGAACCCTAACCCTTGGATAAAAGACGAATCCGACGGCTCACGATCGGGCACAGATTTCGAAGCGGCAAAAGACAGCACCACATCATTGCAACCCTAATTTCAAATTTGAAAAGACGTCAGGCTGACAGAACTGTCCAGAAGATAAGGATAAGACCTCACAACAATGCCGTAGGATTACAAGGCAAGGGCTCCGAGGTCGAGAAATGAATGATGAGCAGAATTAATAAAAGGAATCGATCACCAAATTTACTCTTAAGCCCCTATCGACTTAGAGTAATTTTTGAGGGGGACTAGATGATATAGCCATATAAGGATAACCCGGTCACGAGGCTCCTTACTCGACCGGTGAACCGCTCGAACCACTAGCATGTCGATATGAATCCGTCGACATGCTCCAATCGACTTCCATAGAGTCGACTCTACAAAGAGCGACCAAGAAAGGACAAAAATCTATCCGGTCGACTCTCACAAGTCGATCTCTGTCTGTCGACTTCCACTAGTCGACATCTGTATAAGAAGAACAACAAGAGCATAGTTTTCAAGCATCCAGATACTCTAAGTCGACTCCCAGTAGTTGACTTCACTAAGATGATTCTCTGAAGACGATTTCCACTCGAGGGAACTAACCAAGCGTAGCCTCCGAATCCTCATATGATCACAAGTCGACCTCCTAGCTGTCGAGGTCGACTCTGCATATCTCGAAGATCAAAGATGTGATGACGACTCATCACACTTGCAACATACTTAAAGCTCTACATATTCCAAAGGGTAAGAAGGAATCTTGTGGTGACTCAGCAGCAAGGGGAGACGAACCGACTGGGGCATTTTGGACCTTTTAGGCCCACCGACTTGGGCATTCTGGGTACTTCAAGTAAGTATTCACTCCTATATAAGGAGGCGAGGTAACCCCAAACCCCAACTCTCTGATTCATTCCCACTCTCCCCCATAGCTGTTGCGCAGCATCTCTTCATCACTCTCATACTGACTTGAGCGTCGGAGGCTCTACGCCGGAAACACCTCCGGCGTTGAGTTTTTGCAGGTATCTTGCGGTCTAGCAACGATTCGGAGGCGGTTCAAGCAGATCTGAGCTCACATCCACCGGTTTACTCCAGATCTGGAAGTAGACCAATCAGAATGGTAAAACCCATCTCCATGGAATTAGCCATTCCATAATTAATGGAAGGTTTTCTCATTCCCATGTGTGTATGAATCAATTTTTTCAAAAAATAAAATTAACAAACAATAATAAAAGATAAATATATAATATATAATATAAATCATGAATAAAATATATTAAACAAAATTATTTAAAAAAATAAAATTCAAATAAAAAAATTGAAAACTTACTTTTATTTATTGTTTAATTAGATATATTAAATACTATATAAAAATAAAATATAAAAAATCATTTATATATAATTTTAAAATATTTTATTTATTTTTATATATTATTAAAAATATATTATTTCTTATATATTAAAAATATATTACTTTTAAAAATATATTATTAAAAATATTAAAATATATATTATTAAAAATATATTACTTTTTATTTTTCTATATTATTAAAAATATATTATTTAAAAAATAAAATTCAAATAAAAAAATTAAAAACTTACTTTTATTTATTGTAATAAAAATATATTATTTTTTATATATTAAAATATATTTCTTTTGAGAATATATTATTTTTTATATATAGTTTAAAAATATTTTATTTTATTTTTATATATTATTAAAAATATATTATTTTTTTATTATTAAAAAATATATTATTTTATTTTTATATATTATTAAAAAAAGCATTTATATATAATTTATTAAAAAGATATTATTTTTAAAAGAAAAACTTTTATTTATTTTTATAATTAAAAATGATAATGTCATTCCATTCAGGTCTTATTCCTTCTGCATACCAAACGTATCAATTACGAACTTGTTTCATTCTATTCCTATAATCATTCCATTTTTCAATTCATTCCATTCCTACGAAATTCTATTTCATTATACCAATCATGTCATTATGGTTTAAAAATTTTGCCAAGTCTGAGCAGAGGGTAACTATCTACCAGACCGGCCGCGTGAACGGATCAACTTCAATTTTTCTGTTGTATATCTTGGCACCTCTTCAGCCAAAGTGCCTGATGCCCATAACTGAAATACTAAAGAGAAACTAAACACCCCATAGACACCACCTATGGTTAGTTTTAATTTTAAGCATATATATGGTTAAAAGACTTATCACTAACATAAAGACCAACAAAGTCTCATAGATCTAAAGTTAAAAAAAGAGGTGCTGGGGCTTTTCCAGGAAAGTAAACAAGTGCATTAGTCAAATTCAATCCCAATCTTATTATCTATACTTTGGCAGCACCCTTACTTTTTTTTCTTCGCCATCAATATATCTCATAGGGTGATACTAGTCAATTCAAAAGGGCGGAAATAATCAAGAAACATTAACTGTATACTGTGTAAGTTACACATTTTATGTTACATGATCAATTGCGCCTACATATACAAAAAGATGGTGGGTTCTTGGTATGACTCTCATCATTAGATAGATCAGACTAATTGGTAAAATTATGGAAAATATATCTCGTATAGTAAAATTATTTAAATAATTAGCACTAATTTTATATTAATTTGGAAAATCATATGGGCACTAAATAAGTTATGTTTTTTGCATAAGGTTATTGAATAATCATATTCATTTCTTTATGTTTTCAATTGTTATCTCTTTCAATAGTTAATGATTCAAGGTGTTAAGTACTTAAGTACTAAGTAATCCTTATCGACTTCTTTTTCTTTACTAGATAGGATATTGAATATCTAAAATTATCACAGAATAGCTTATGTTTACTTTAAAGGATTGAGAAAGGATTTATCTTATGTGGCGTACATGTGGCATGCGGGGGCTCACATGCTTATCAGGTATAGGCCGATTAATTCCATCCCAGCTTGAAACCCAGATTTTTTTATCCTCACCTAAGAATGACCATTTTGTCTTCAAAAGTGCTTGTCAAAAGACAAAAATACCTCTCAAATTCCTTTTATTTACAATCAAATAACATATAAATATTGAAAATGTTTCATTTTGCCCTAGGTTTGCATAATTGATTTCGTGCGAGACGTGGTGCACTTGTAGGGAAATTGGACTGTAGCCACTCTGTGCAAGGGTCGTGTTTTGCCGGCGGATGGTGGACCCCGCCGTCGCGAAATTGGCTCCGCCNAAGAAAAGCACTCAGATGGGGTAGTCCCAGCCTCTCAGCTAAAAAAAAAAAGTTTATTAGAATAAAATGTTGAAGGTAAAAAATGGTGTCTTTTCGGAATTTTTTATTTACCCATGAATCGAATATGAAGCGGCCATCGCACTACTGGCCGACGGGGAGCGGAAGTAAGTCAGGCGGTTGGGCGGCAGGGCTTGGCCAAAATTTGCTGAAAGGCCACCGGTGTTGGAGTTGGAGTCGCCGAAGTTGAAGATAGTCGGGAAGTTGCAGGTGTTGGAGGAGGCAGTTGGGTGGAAAGTGTGATTTGGAGGAGTGTGAGGGCCTGAAGTCTAATAAGCTGAAACTCCATGGGTCTCGAGCTCTGTTTTGGATATTTGGTTCAATTAAAATGAAATTCGCTCATCGCGGAGTATCGTTGGGGCCAACGTTGTAAACGTCCTCTGCCTGCCATCCTCGCCCACCACGTCACTGCTTTAGGGCTCGACGGATTTTCAGAAGAGGGCTAAATGAGTTATTTCCGACAAGCCATACTGAAGAATAGATGTGAAAAGGGTAAAGTAGACATTTCTTTTTTATCATCTCATTTAGTCCATGATAGTAAATGAGGGATTCGTTTCAAAAAATTGCACATCATAAAGTAAACATTGGACTAAATGTTGATGTGTAAATTTAGATATCGTATATTATTTTATTCAATCTCATCCGTTGAATTAAATGAGGCCATGGTGTGTGATTTTTCCCGGGTGTGCTAACTTTCAACGATCAATTGTTTACACGATACAATAAAATCTGGAACTCTCTCTCAGTTTGCCGCTTTAAGTGGACAACCTCAATATGATGCGAATTCAACAATGAAATGATGAAAGATAATAGAATTTGATTCAAATTAGTATCAATTCTTAAACTAAAAGCATGCGAACTGCTATTTTTAATTTTGAATAATGGTATCATTGATGGTATTTGGTGTTATTTTTAACTATGATGTATTTTATATATAAAAAAAATGACACAATTTATATTAGAATTCTTAAAAATGATAACACCATGTAATATAAAAAATAATATACAATTAAAAATAGCATCAAATACAATGCTCTGTACAAAATACCACCACGGTTCTGTTGCGCTACACACAATGCTCATTTGGTGAATATCAAATCCATGAATTTAATTTATCAACCAAATGTACCAACTTATTTCAGCCCACAAATGAACTGTTTCAGCTTGTTGACTAGATGCTCTCAGTACTTTTTAATGAATACTTCTAGGTGCTGCTCCATGGATATTCCCACAAGACATCCGATTAAGGAAAATGTCTTCACATCCACCTTGCCTAGTCTAATAACTCATATGAGCAGCAACAACCTAAATTTCGTACAGACTTAAGCATAGCTACTGGTGAAAAGGCTAACTCACAATAGATCTCATTCTTTCTGAGTCTACTATTTCACAACAAGCCTTGCTCCAAAGTCTTTACGATTTTACTAACACATTTCGCCCAATGGCCTTTACGCCACTTGGTGGTTCTATAAGATCCCAGATTGGATTAGAGTCTAAAACCCTAATCAGAAATCATTGATACTTTTCTAAGATTCTACATCCTTGTCTTGGAGCAACTCATTGTATAATCAAGGATCGATTCAGGTTTACTAGAGACTAAGTCCGAAGACTTTCTCAAGAACATGAATTCATAGCCTCGTGTTTAATATAGACTAAGTCCAACGACTCTCTCACTAGCACAAACCTATTCAGTCGCATTGCAAACCTCCCACTACAATGAGCATCTCATCGTATAACCAGGGATCAGTTTTACTTTCTCTAAACACTAAGCCCAGAGACTTTATCAAGAACATGAAACAAATGAGATGCCTCGCAACCCTCCTACTACAACAAAATTCCTTCATCAAAGGTGTATTGCTCACAACTCGTGTTGCAGTTTTATTGTGGTATCACATTTTTACATGCGGTATCGAGGTCGAGCATTCACCTTTATCTTTTCTTATAACAATTCTACAAATGGGCTCGTGGTTTATTACTTAGTATTTCTCTAAAAAGCAGGCATTTGTGCTAACGATCACCTTCTGATTTTTAGTACTATAAAATAAACCACTTCTTTCTCGTTCATATGAATTATCCCACAAACAGCCTAATTCTCGAACGACCTTTTCAATCCTATCAGTATCAACTTTTCAGCACATGCGCGGAAATGTCCTGAATCCAAATATGTTTCTGGCTAGGCCTGCATTTTGTCCACAATTCATTCAGATACCACTGAATTAGATGGAACTATTTTGAGAACTTATCCTGCTATTTGCACAACTCCAACACGAAAAGTGAAATTCCTAGTAACTCATCATTGACACAACCAATATACCTAAGAGACATTTTCCTTCATTTTGTTACACAATACTGTTTAGGTAACCTGGTGTAACCTGCTGGAACCAAACCCCAGCTTCCAATTAATATTTCTAAATTTTTCCAAAAGGTATTTGTTGTTTGATTCTATGAGAAACGTAGTCGATATACACATGCGAATATATTAAAAATAAATCCTAACCTAACAGGATTTATAGTTAGGATTAGGATCTATAGTTATTCATTTTTTTCATACATGTTTTTTTAAAATTGAAATTTACTATTTTTGCCCTTGCTTTTTTACCCATTGTTGGACAAAAATTAATGCTTGGCTACTCTTCCTAGGATTCGAACTCGGGCTAAAACATCTTTAGGCAAGACTTCAAACTACTCTACCACTATCATTCTATGAGACATATTTAACACATTTATTTAAAACAACACGAACAGAGGAAAACTTAATCAAACAAAATATAAAATATAAAATAATCATAAACTAAAGTAATTATAAGAAAATATAATTAAAATAAAATAAAATAAAAATGAAATTACATAAATTAAATTTGAAATTCAAAAATAATTAATAAACTAGTGCAACACTCGTGTAAATACACGGGTGTTGAATTAGGAAGCATATGTAAAAATATTAATTTTTGTAAACTAGAAAAATTTAATATTATATAAAACATTATTTTGGATTTTAATTAAGTTGTCAAATTATATTTTTTTAATCACAATAATTAAACACCCGTACATTAAACAAAAATGTCAACTCATATTGAATTTTTGTAAATTATCGATATTATTTACTATTATTAAGTAAAAAAAATATATATCTTAAATAAATAAAAATAATATGGTGATATATATATGCATATGTGCAGAATATGTTTGTTTAATATTAAGCAAAATAGATTAATTTTTTACTTGATTAGATGCCTAATACATCAAATGTCGATTCGTCGTGCTTCACAGTTTTCTAACTTTATATGTAATTTTAGAATTTTGATAAATATTTATTTATTTTATTAGATTAATAACATACCAATTAGATTTGAAATAAATATCATTTTTAAGAGAATACATACCAATTTCTATTACTTTATAATATAATTTGTTGTTTTATTTTATATCTTTTAATTTAGTTTGATAAATAAACTTAAATTTTATTTATAAGAATATATATTACTATTTTGTATTATATATATATATATATATAATATGGATGTCAAATCGAAAATCGTTAAAAGATAGTTAATTTGATATATCATATTTAAAAAATAAAATCGAAACAAAAAAGTTATAAAATCTTAAAATAAGAAGAAGAAATATTTATAATTACTAATGAGTAAATTAAATAAGAAAAAGAAATATAAAATAATTTATGGTAACTAATTGTAAAAATAAAGAAAGAAAAAATCAATCATGGATTTAGTGTGATAAAAAATATTAATTCATATCCAAGCCTAACTCCAAAGCATGGTTTTTTGCCAAATAGGATTCCGAAGCGTGAGAGTTTGTCACGCAGGCTCAACCTATTCTGAAATTATATATAGAGGGGATGTATTACTATATAATATAAAAATAAAATAATAATTTCATTTGACTAAATTAAAAAATAGAAATATAAAATAAATTTTATTATAAATTTAAATATATGTTTTTATGAATTGAAGTAATATAATATATATAAATAAAATTAAACTAAATTAAATTCAATTTATATATAATAAAATAAAATGATACTTTTAATATATTATTAGAGTAGTCATTTTTAAATAAAATATTTTGTATTCAATCGCTATATATATGATTTTTATTTATTTCTTTTATATAGTTTTTATATTATTTTATATTTTTAAATTTTTAATAAATATATAAATTTTAATTTTTTCAATAAAATTATTATTTTGAATTTTTAATAAATAGTTTAAGTTCTTATTATTTATTTAGTTTTTTTATTTTAAATTCTGGTAAATGTATAATATTAAAAAATTCTATTTACAATTCAAAAAACTATTAATTAAATCATCAAGTATCATTTGGTTGTAGTTTTAAATAATATAAACAAGTTTTGGTTATTTTATTTATTTTTAAATCTGAATAAATATAAAACTTTCATAAAATTATTAATCTTATTTATAATTTAGAATCTATTTATTCAGTTATTGTATTATTTATATTTTTTAATATATTTACTTAATTATTATATCATTTATAATCTAGAATCTTTTTACTCAATCATTATATTATTTATAATATGAAATCTATTTACTCAATTATTATGAATTTAAAATATATTTATTTAATTATTATATGATTTATAATTTAGATCTAATTTATTCAGTTGTTATATTATTTATAATTTAGTATCTATTTACTCAATTATTATAAAATATATATAATGAACTATTATATTACATATATTTATAATTATCATTATCTTATTTATAATGTATAATATATTTACTTAATTATTATATTATTTATAATTTAGTATATATTTAATTAATTATTATATTATTTATAATAATAATTATCATTATACTTTAGAATATAATTTATTCAGTTATTATATTATTCATAATTAGAATATATTTATTCTATTATCATAAAACCTATTTATTTAATTATTATATTATTTAAAATTTATAATATATTTTCTTAATTATTATATAATTTATAATTTAGAATATGTTTACTGAATCATTATATTGTTTATAATATAGAATCTATATATTCAATCGTTATATTATTTATAATATAGAATATATATACCGAATTGTTATATATTTATAATTTATAAAACATTTATTTAATCATTATATTATTTGTAATTTAGAATCTATTTACTTAATTATTATATTATTTATAACTTAAAAAATATTTACTTAATATTACATTATTTATAATTTAGAATATAGTTACTTAGCTATTACATTATTATACTTAGCTATTACATTATTTATAACTTAGAAAATATTTACTTAGTTATAATATTATTTATAATTTTTAATATAATTTTTAATATAAGGTCGGGTTGGACCTGGTCGTGCCGGTGATGGTTGGTTTCAGCCGCGACTAGTAGCTGCCAAACGAAGGTGTTCGGAACTCTTTCAGCCTGCTGGTCTGGTCGTCGGGAAATCTGGTGGTTGGCGGTACCCTGTTTCGGTTTGCTCGGCGTTCGCCTGCTCCTGGAAGACGTTCGCTGCTCCTTGCCGGAAATGGTTGCTCTCTATCCGTCCGGTAGGGATCACCTGTTCGGCGGCTGCGGCTGCGCGTGGAACTCGCGGCGGCGACGATGGATGGTGAACGGACACCGGCAAGACTTCTCGTGGACAGAGGTTCAACGACTGCTTCTCTCGACGGTGCTGGCTTCAATGCGACCGGACGATGGTCGGAGGAGACGACGGCGGGGGATAGGTTGCCAATGGTCGGTCGGTCGGGGAAGAGGAAAATGGCGACATGGCGTTAAAGCTAGAAAATGAGCGCTTCGTTTGCTGCACGTTCTCGCCATTCGGGGTCTACGCGGCCTTTGCCGAGGGGAGAGAGAGATGACGACAGTAAATTCTGAGGAGGGAGATGGAAAAATTCTGGCGAAGGAGCGATGTGCAGTCGAGGGGGAAGAGATTGAGGGTGAGAGGGTGACGGCGAGTGCGGGTTGGAGGTTTTAAAAGGGGTTAGGGCTGCAACAATATTAACTCAAATAGGCCAAGAATGATTTAGCAAGATGAGCCAAAAATAATATATAACTCAAAGGGCTGAAATTTCTCTCAATTGGGCGAATTCTTGTGCATTAAAAATGGGCCGACTAAAATAACATGAAGGGACCAAGAAAGTACAACTAAATTGGGCCGATTTTATTTCCAAAAATTGGGCCGAACAGAAGTATTAACATTGGACCGAGTTTGAGTTTCGATAAAAGTTCGAAAACGGCTCGAAATAATTAGCGATAATGGGCCGAATATAAATCTCAAGGCTCGTTTGGAAAATGACTCAAAACTACAACACGATTACACCAAAGATAGGTCGAAGCGGATCGAACATAATTCTACATGAAATAACCAAAATATCGAACGAATAAACTAATAAATAAAATTATTTCAAACCAAGCCATACACATAACAATAAAAATAGAATTAATCATATAATAATATAAGAACAATGCAATTACAAACTAGAGCAATCACATAAAAACGGGCAAATAATAATAATCGAAGACAAGCAATAATATAATGAAATAAAATCAATCAATAATAAAATAAAATGCAATCAAGCAATTTATAAGTCAAGCCATGCATATAAGGATAATAATATTCAAGCTTTGCACATAAAATAAAATAATAGCAACACCTAAATAAAATAAAATGCATATAATTAAAATAAAATGAGAGAAATTATAATAATCGAAAGGGGCACTGCAATTATATAAGAGTCGTAATTTAGTTACACATTAAAAAGAACTAGTACAACACTCGTGTATTACACGGGTGTCTGTTAAAAATTTATTCTTAAATTTTAAAATTAATGAGAAAAAATATTTTAAAATTTATTTACTTTTTTCCAAAATATATATATTATTATATATTTTAGAATGTCACTTGTTACTTGTGCGACTTATATGTGTTATATTATAGTAATTTTTATAACTTATATCATATAACTACGTGAAATATAAATATATTAATTGATAAATAATTTTATTTTTCTAATTAATATTAAAAAGTAATTTTATTATTGTTATAAAGATAAATATAAATTTTTCTTAAATATACGGTATGGATGTTAAATCGAAACTCATCAAGAGATGATTAATTTAATATATTATATATGTAAAACTGATAAAAACTACAAATATTATTAACTTTTAAAATACATTTACAAATTCAATAGTTTTAATAAGAAATAATACTAAAATGTAATTAATACATGTAACATGACCATAAATAGTTAACATGTTTATGGATAATTTTGACCTAATTATTTTTAGATTGGAAGTAAATTAAAATCTACCCAATCCTAAGAACGAAACTTGTAATTTTGTCACATATGATCCAGAAGCATGCGAGCGTGCCACTAAGGCTCAGCACGCTCTGAATTAATATATAATATGGGGGATATTGTCAAATTCATAACACTTTTAAATGTCATTATTTAAATATTCTTTTTAAAAATGTGTCGCCACATAATTAAAATTATATACCGTTTTGCAATAGCGGCATTTATTAATTACGTTTTTTGAAAAATAAAATATCCTCATATTGGTAGACATGCAAGGTGACATTTGTATAAAAGTGTCACTATTTAAAAACACTTTTTCTTTTACAAATGTCATCTTTTTATTAAAATATGATATTTCTGCATAAATGTCATAATTTAATTGCACTTTCTTAAATGTTCCTCAATATTAGTTTTCACTGTGACACTTTTTTAAAAATGTCATTATCTAATTATACTTTATTATAAATATTGTTATATTTTTATTTTGGTAACACTTTTTAAAAAGCGTAACAAAAAGATTTTATTTTAGTTATATTTTTAAGAATCACTATATTTGTGTTGCGAGTGTGGTCTAGAACTTTGAAATTTACTGGGAATCAAGAGGAAGTACTTCTTACAGCAATCAGATTGGCCTTGTTATAGGTGAAGACTACAAGCATAGATCATAGGGAAGTTTATATATCTATGTGTGTTATAAGACTTATTTTTAAAAATACGATTGATAAAATATTTTATCAGTTAAGGACTTTGTGAAAATATATTTTCATCTTTACGGATCTTGTCATCCGTTTCAAATAACTCGTCGTCATTAAGATATCCGAAACTGACGCAAGTACACCCGCAATCAATTACCAAATATCTTGTTCATGTGAATCATTCTTTTCCATAATTTCTCCCAAATATCTATGCAAGTTTTATCTTCTCGCGGAAGTTGCACGGCGGCGGACCGAACTCCGGACTCTTGTTGATCCCCCGACCGTTGTTTGTCCCATTTTTGTTGCATTTTTTGTGCTCGTTTCGTTTTTTCTTTCCCCCCATTTTAGGTCGTTTCTTTAGTGTTTAGTCCGTTTCGTGTTTTATTATGTGTTTTCCTTCAACTTGAGTCCTTAGGTGTTTTTCGTTTGTTTTTCCGGTTTTCTTTTGTGTTTTGTCGTTTTTGGTGTGTAGGTCAGGAGCTTTGGGCGAATTTTCTCTTCAGGAAAAGTTGGTTTTGAAAGCATAACTGGATAGATGGGTTCGTTGGTGACGCATAGCAAAAAACGGAACTCAATTCCGAGTTCGGACGAGCCCAAACGAGCTCGAAACGTAAAGCAGCGCGCAGCTGCCCAGTTTCCTTCACCGCGGCCGCGGAGAAGGATAGGTCGCGGCCGCGGAGGTCTCAAAATTCACACTTTCTGTGCAGATGAGGTCGCGGCCGCGGAGCAAGTCGCGGCCGCGGAGGTCACGATTCAACCCTTAAAAACCTGTTTCTGCGATTTTTGACAGGGGGAGAAATTGGGGGCGATTGGGTGCGAACCCTAGCTCGAAAAACCTCTTCTTCACTCTCCATCTTCTTCTTCTTCTTCTTTTTCTTCTCTTCTCCTCTTCTCCATCTTTCTTCTCCATTTTTCTTTCTTTTTTCTTTCTTTTCCATTTTAAGGATTAAGCTTGTATTTTGGATTCAACTTTCGGATTGGATTGATTGTAAGTATTTTTCATCTCGTTTAATTCATGAGAATGATTATTTGGGGTGAATTGCTTTATTGTGTTGAATTCATGCTACTTAGCTAAATCTTATTGCTAGGGATAGGGGATGATTTTTCTCGTTTAACGTGTATTTTTCGGGCTTGATTCGTTTGTTCTTGTGCGAGTAAATTTAATTAGGACTTGATGAATTCTTGCTTGATGAATTGATATAACCTAAGAGTGACACTTAGGTTAATTTATTGATATAATCGAAGAGTGACACTTCGATTTTGCGCTTGAATATTGATTTGTTGAGTTAGGGTTTATTGATCCTACATGATTAGTTGATTAAACACCTTCTAATTGAATTAGCGACTTTTAGAACCGAAAGGGGAGAAGTCGTAGACCTAGGCTCGCATGAGATAGATGATTTCGTAACTGAATAATCTATGGGTTTTGGATTGAAATGCATGCTTGTCGGTGTCTTGTCCCTTGTTATGAAAAGTTATTGGGATTGGATACTTGGCCGGTATTGTATGCTCAAACTTGCTCGTCTATGTTCAATTCCATGTTACGAAGAGTTATTGGGAGTGAACCGCTAGACGTGTAGGCGAGAGTGTCAATTCCGAACCGAACGATCAATTGCCTGGCTTTACGTTGCGAACTTGAATAAATTATCCCCGATTCCCTAGTTTCTTTATTATTATTTAGTTGGTATTTTAGGATTTATGCTTTTATGCTATTTCTTAGTTGATAGTTAATTCCTCCCCAATCTGATTAGAGTGTTTAGGATTTTTTATTTTTTTTTTTTTGTGTTATCAATACCAATTCTAAATTCCGAACCGCCTTCCTCGAGAGATCGACCCGGGAAAGAATCCTTCGATTCGGTACTCGGTAATATAACAATTTGTACACAACAAATTTGGCGCCGTTGCCGGGGAACGCAAGTAGGACATTTGGTTTTGATGTTGATTTTATTTTCTGTGTTTCTCTTTATTTTGTGTTTTTCGTGTTCGTGTCCTTTGTTTACATTTTTGTTATTCTTTTTGTTTTTGTTTTAGTTTTTATTTCTTTCTTTCCTTTTCGTGGCTACGTGTGGTTGTTCTATTTTGGTGTGCAGGAAATATGAACTTCAATCGTGCTTCCCCATATCCGCACACCCAATCTTGGGTTAACGAGCTGAGTTATCACACTGGGTACCACGTCCAGTCTTATCCATACTCTTCCGAGCAGTACTGGGACCCCTTTCCGGTCCAGCAACATTATGAGTCCCACGAGTTCAACGAGAAGCTCGACCGTATCTATGAATTTGCGACATTCTGATTAGCTCAGGAAGAAGAGACCGCTTCCTGGTGTTCCCGTCTGCATCAGTCACCTCCATACAACGATTCTTGGGACTATGGACAAACTTGGTCATATCCTTACGAGCAGCAGTGGGAGTCTATACCTGTTGAACAGTCATGTGAGTCCCTCGAGGACTCCTCAGAGTACAATGCCAAGCTCGACCAGGCCCTCGCTCTTTTAGCCTCCCAAGCGACCCGTAGGAGCAATATTGAGTCCAGAATCGAGAATCTTGTGGAGCGCGTGCAAGCCTTAGAGGATCGAGTTAACAATGTCACTCTCGAGCCCACCGCTCAAGGAGAATCTACACATAAGGATAAACCTCGGGAGGCCGCCTTGACATATGATGAAAAGCTCGACCTCATCCTTGCTTGCATATCTGTCCAGGCCACTCGAGATGTGGAGATTGAGCTCAAATGTGCTCGACTGGGCACACAAACAGAGATTCTTACAGCACACATCGACTCA